GAGAGAGGAGAGAGAGAGAGAGAGAGAGAGAGAGAGAGAAGAGAGGGGGGGGTGATGGTATGGTATGGAACATAACTACAACGAAAACAATTCCAATTGCAAGAAGAATGAGAATAAAATGAATATGAATAAAATAATAATAAGACGGATGATAAAGATGGTTGATACTGATGCTGATGTATAATATTGGTGGTGATGTGACGATATGGATGATGATGATGATGAGATGTGAATTAATGATGGATGGTAGGAGGCATGAGATGATGATATGATGAGATGGATGATGATTAGAGGAATAGACAGGAAGGGAGAGGAGAACCAGTCCAGTAAATACAAACGTACAAACGTACCTACAAATGAATGTCAAACACAGCATTTAATCATCAACACGTACACTATGCACTTACGCAAGGGGAAAGAAAAAAGCGATAGTTTTAATCCATAAGCACAGTCAATCAAAATAATTATAGCCTTTCACCTTTCATCTTTCACGTATGAACAAGAACAAAAACAAGTGTTCTCACGAAACGTCATCAATATCACCACCACCAACAACAAATACAACAACAGTAATACGGGAAAAGGGCGTTCAAAAGAATGAAGAGTGTTCAAGAGAAAGAAAAATGTTCGAGATAGAAAAAATGTTCAAAGAAGGGAAAAAAATGTTCAAGAAGGGAAAAAAAGTGTCCAAGAAGAAAAAAAAATGTCCAAGAAAGGAAAAAAAAGTGTCCAAGAAGGGGAAAAAAGTGTTCAAGAAGGAAAAAAATATTATTCAAGAGAAGGAAAAAAACAATGTTCAGCAAAGAGACCGAGAACGCGACCAAACTGCTTCCACACTCTTTAGGAGATTTCATAACCTTGAGACCTGTGAGAACGTCTTTACTCTCCCTGTCCTTCTCATGCTTCTCCATTCTAGTTTGTCTGTTTTCCATATTCTTCTCCTTCCAATTCTGCGTCTATTTCTACGTCTACTTCTTTTCTTTCACCTTGTCTGTTCTTCTTTTTCCCTTCCTCTTCCTCCTCCTTCTTTGTCTTCTCCTCCCCTCCTCTTTTTGACCTTCTCTTCCTCCTCCTTTGTCTCCTCCTCCTCTTCTTCTTCTTTCTCCTTCCTCTTTCTCTCCCTTTTCCCTTTCTTCCTTCTTACTCTTCTTTCGCTTTCTCTTCTCCTCTCCTCCCCTAGTTTCTTCTCGCTCGTTTGTATATTATCCCTTTTTCTTCCTTTTAACATCCCTCTTCACCTCAATCCTCTCCCTCTCTTCTTTCTGCTAATCTTGTCTTTCGTCCTCACCACGAGCAAAACACACACACCACACACACCACACACAACAAACCGCACACCCACACCACACACGCCCACTCGACATGCTCAGGTGCTTCACTACACCATGCACAAACAGGCACACACACACACACACACACACAGCGACACCCCACACCACACACACAACACACCCAACACACACACCACACACACAACACACACACACACACACACACACACATACACACCACCATACACACACACCACACCACACACACACACACACACACACACACAAAATAAAAAAATATATATAAATAAATTAAATAAAAAAATAAAGATAAAAAAACAATAAATAAATAAATAAAAAATAAATAAAAAATACCACAATAAACAAATAAACTATACCACAACCAAAACAAAAAAGCAAGAATTTCCCCTCAGCCCACGGGAGGCGAACAGCTGATCAGTGACACTTGAAATATCAACTCGCACGATATCCTAACGGTGGCCACGTCTGGTTCACATCCGCTAGCTCGTTTAATTTGCGTCTGAATTTTCTTTTTAAATTTCTTTCCGTGCCTTATCTATCTATGAAAAATAACTGCCGTGCGTTGAGGTCCTTTCTATCGCTAAGAAGGATATGTGTGGACGTATTTCTCCTTATAAACTAAAAGAACGGCGCGTGTTTACGTATTTCTTCTTAATCATTACGGGAACGACAACGAAAATGTCATCCTTTTAACCACGGTACTTGATCGATATCTCACTTGCAGCGATCAGTGCCTGGAACAGACATCACCACGACTAAAACAAAACCAAAATCACGTCATAACACACTTGTAACCAAAGCACGGTTAGCGCAACACGCCATAACGAAATCACAAAGTTAACACCGCCACGCAATGTTGCACAGTCTTTTAGCTCTTGCCGGAACAGACAGACAGACACCGATACACACAGACACCCACTTGCACACACACTTGCAAGAAGACTACTTTTTTCTCCCGTTTTTACCTCACGGGTGTCTGTGCAAGGCGAGGCTAACACACCCGCAGCGAAGTCACAATGGGAGCAACCGTGGCTCACGCATGACTGGTGGGCAATGTGACCACTCAACCCGCCCAGGTGAGTGCTGCCTTGCCCCTCCCTTCCCCCGCCGTCGCTCCCTCCCTCCCTTCCCCTCCCCTTCCCCTCCTTCCCTCCTCCCTCTCCCCTTCCCTCCTCCTCCCTCTCCTG